CCCCGCGGAAACCAAACTGGCAGTCGGCCAGTCCGGGACCACCCGCGGACAGCCCCCTCGAGAGGCGGGCAGCGAGCACGTGCTCGAAAAGCTTACCCGCCTCGTCGAGGAGGCATATCGGTCGGTACGCCGAAGGGTCGTCGGCGGGCTTGCCCTTCTTCGGAAACACAAACCAACCTATCCTAACTTCTATCACGAAAACGTTCGGAGAATGTTGACACAGAACGTCCGTAGGACGTTCCGCTTTGTATATAGGATCTTCCTAGGACATTTAAAGATCTTAACGAGGACGTAGGGGGGGACATGTGGACCTTTTCCGGACATCCTCCGAATGTACCGAACGTCCGGAATGTACGTTCTCGTACGTACATAAGACGTTTGTGTGCTATTTGGGATAATGCTTCAGAGTTAGTTGGGGACAGTTAAATAAAAAAATAATTCAGAGTTAGTTAAAGGCAGTTGAAGAATAAAAGTAACTCAGAGTTGTAATTGCGAATATGGATGATACACCTGTTGCTGAATCTTTTAATAGATGTAAGGAGTATGTTTTAAAATCTATCATAAATATTATTATTTGTATATTCTGTGTTCGTTATTTTCAAAGCATTGTACTGATGGGATTTGGTTAGTGACAATTCGAAAAAGAAAGTAATTCTTTTATTTTTTAAATATTTTTGCGTGTATCTCGGAAACTAATAGATGGAAGGATTAGTGATCAGAATACTATGACAAATAGAAAAACAATACTTAGAATGTTGACCTTGACAACATATTTCAAGCTCATTAAAATCGCAGAGGTCGCCCCTATTCCGAATAATTAGCTTTAGTAGTCAAACACGTAAGTACCATCACAAAAAAAATAATTATATATTTCGAAAATCGTGCAAATTAAACTTGCGCAAGGTAGGTTCAATATGTTGTATCATATAAAAAGTAAATTGCGTAATTATTATGCCCTGTTTTTGTACACAAATAATGAAATTTATTATACAATTTCTCGTCCACTTATAAATTTTGGATGGGACTTTTTTTATCTCGGAGATATGATATCAATAGATGTTTAACTATGAAAGTCGACCTTTTTTTACTTCGGTATAGTTGTACATAAAAGTAATCGGTTGGACATTATAATTTTTAAACGAGACTACGATAAGTTATTAATTGTATCCCTTTTCGTGCAACGTGCAGCTATTGTCGCCAGTGACAAAGTATACGGAGCTCAATCCTGCTCTGTGCGCTGAGTTGCAGAAAATCGTGGACACGATCCTCACACCTGGAAAAGGGATAATCGCTTGCGATGAATCTCCAGAGAGTTTAGATAAACGATTCGAAGAGCTTGGTATCGCAAATACGGAGACTGCACGACGCGATTATCGGCAGATGTTGTTCAGCACTGATCAGGTCATTAAAACAATAGAATGCTCCATTGAGATTAGTGTACACTAGTCTTTCCATCTAACATTATGTAGATACAGTATGTACTTGGTAATTAATCCCCATTATATTCTTTCTCCTTATCGCGTTTAAGATAGGACACGTGGGAACAGAATCTCATCGGGAAGATATGATCAAATTACTAGTAATACTTAAAATATGAAGGCGTTCAACTGTCGCTCGACTGTCGCTCGACTGCTGCCTTTGAGTACCACTGATAGCGTCGCAGGTTTTACTAAACTATTTCGCTTCTGTATTGAACAAAAAACGCGTCTTATCATTTTTGTTAATGCTTTCCGGAAGAAAAATGTTTACTGTATGTGCTGACGCAGTCAGATTATGTCCTGCACCCAGACTTTTTGAAATAAATTGAAAAATATCTGTACAAATTAGGGCAATTTGGGTGTCTTTTACCCTTTGACACACACTGTTACACACTAGTCACACCTTACAGCTTACAGTATTATATATGAAAATCCTACAATAGAATAAAAAATGACGATTTTATTCATATTGTTTACAAGAAAAGAAGGTACCTATTCTTTGGAGCTAGTTTTCGGTGCCTTAATTTTAAAAATTCATTTCATTTGAAGTTTATATGATAGTACAACTCTCGAAGAGTAAAAAATACCCCCGCTGCTTGCTGTCCGATTTGTCCAAAATGGAAATGGATGCCATATTCTCCTAAAATTTTGAAGCCTTATGTTCAAATCTCTCAGAGGATTAAACAATTACAAGATGCTCTTATTTTGACAGTTTTCATTCTTTTGTAACTGAACATGTACAGCGATCTTAACGTACTATATCTCATTTTGTAGGTATTAAAAATATCTACATATTTTATTTGACCCTCTTTTCTCTGAAATCATTATATTTTCTTCTGCGCGCGAAAAGCATGTTTTTCACACACTTTCAAATTTTCCTAACAGTGTTCCCCACAACATTTTACGAGTTTTCAACATATACATTTTATTTCTAATGACCTTCCAAACTATTTTGCATAAAAAAAATAGCTAACCAGAATAAATTCTCATCGAATAAATTTGTCCATTCTATAGGTTTGTTCTTTTTGCGTTCTTTTTATGAAATATATGTGTACGCCTTAATACCCGTATCAATTATGTAAATAGAAGATAAATAAATATCATTTCAAACAGCAGATTTGTATAGTATTCCATGTTTTTTGTATACGGAATACCCGGAATATATGTTGTGTCACTTTTACAATTTGTTTCTAGGGAATACCATTTCAAGTATTTCGTATGTAATTTGATTAATTAAAAAAATAAGCATCATTGCAAGTACGAATAAAAAGGTTCATCCTTGCACACATTAGTACGTATTGTTTAATTCTCGGATCTCTTATTCTTTTCCTACGTTCGGCGAGAATCGAAATCTCGCCACGATCCGTAGGTATTTCATCGTTCTCGTGATGGGCAGAATTCTAATGGGGGACATATGGCAACAGCGTAACAAAACAATCGATACGATCCAGAACGTGTTGCGAGGTTACATTTACCGACTCCCTCTCTTTTACCGATGCTTGTGGTAATGCAGGCCAAAGTGACTGACTAATACCATAAACATCTGTAACAGAGAATCTTGAACTATATCTCTGTTTATTGTTGAGTCTAGACGCGTCGAATCGTAAATACCAACTTTTGCCTTCCAGGAGTGATAAATTGACAGAAATCGGATTTCTACGAGTGTGATAGTGGTGTGCAGGGTGGTCTGGTCTGTTTTTGACGAGAAAACCATTAAATCTTGTGATATTTAACAAAATGTGACTTGTGCAGCCATCTTGTGTGTTTTCATCGGCGTCTGTCACCAATCGCACACTTTCTAAAATTCTAATTTTTTCAATTCTATGTGTTTATTGGTGTTTATACGGAGCAGACCACTCTGTAGTGAAGTCTACCCGTGAGTTCTATACCTGCGAAAATTTCATTTGTGCAATTATTAAGACAGAAGTTGAAATTTACGAAATCGATTTTCTCTGTCGTGCATGGCGTATACGTACACGGTTCTCGTTGATTGTATGAGTGCACGGCCAGCGCACGGGCGCGGAGTCTCCCCCCTTAAAATCTCACAGTCACGAAGATGGGCTCCGTGACAGCACTACGCGATGCGTCTTCGCTCAAGTATGTGTGACACTTTAAACGATCGTAATTTATGTAGTGGGACGAAGTGGGAAATGATTCTTGCATAAATATATAGAAAAAAGTATATTGAATATTATTTTACTATTACTATTTGGACTCAAAAGATATTCCTTGTCAAAGATAGATAACTCTGACAACTCCACGATGTAAGGATATAAGGTGTGCTCGACCAGCAGACTCATTTTCGTCTACTGCATATTCTAACTTTCCGACATTTTAAAATATGGCCGCTGAGAAAACAATTTATAGTGTGAAGGCAGTCTGTCTATATTAACATAGAAGTCTGAGGCATACTTACCTGGCGTAGAGGTTACCGTGATCCTGAAGGCGGTTCCTCAAGGGCGAGGCTCTTCCATTGCACTACGGTTGAGCTAACCCTTGCAAATATCCCTAATGTGACTATCTCGGACGTACAATTTTTGTTAGTCGGGACTGCATTCGCACTTTCCCGGACACTAAGTTACCTTGTGGGGGGCACGATTTACAGGGGTCACAGCCGCGATGACTCTTCGCGTCGCCCGCAGAGCAACCGGGCCGAAGGGGTGGTACTGGGGGTACCACCCCCTTTCGCGGTCGGCCCACGAGAAGACAGCGTCGAGAGGTGACCTCTCGGCGCCGTAGGTAGGAGGTGGAGAGACGGCATCACAGCCCTCCCGTAGGAGGGGGGGGGGGTGCAATCGTCGCCCCTACCAGAGAAGAAGCTTTCCCTTAAACACCTATAGGGGAGGGCAATGGGCGGGGTTGGCCGCGGTCATGTCGAGCGTTCCCGTTGCCAGCCCTACGCCCGAGGGTCACCGGGGGGTTTTTAATGGGTGAAACCCCACAATGGCCGTTTCCGCCCCCAGCGGAGGCCGTGCACCGTCAAGGTTTTCCCCTCGTTAAAAAAAAAAAAAGAAAAAGAAGTCTGTGACAGTGATGTTAGAATCGTGGAACATGGGATAAACGCTTACCCCCACGTCGTCTCCTACTTTACTTCCATCGTGCTCACAAGTATATGTGTACTTTTATCCCCGTGTGTGTGTCTATCGGGACTTTGTGAGCAGAAATCAGGAGACCCTGTTCGAATCCCGGTGTAACAGTTTTACTCTTTATTTTTAATTCTTTTGTAAGTTCACTTTATAACCTCTCAGTATAATAAAAGCTTGAAAAGTATTCATTTATATTACATACATACATATTATCTTATATATGTATACATAAATTATTCTTACAATTGGATGTTATTGTTATTCTAACTATTGCAGTACATAATATAAAAATATTCATATATCTTCAATCTTTTAAAATGGTATTTCAAAAGAATTTTTAAATACCATTTAAAAATTCTTTAATTTTGAATATTTATTTTAAGAAGCTGCGCCATTCGTTAATAAATAATACAAATCTTAAATTATTTCATAAATTGGTTCAATTTTTCTACTAGGAATTAAAAGTAATAATGGGAATGAATGCATTTTTTATTGGAAAATTCCAATAGAAGCTGCATTATATACATATATGAACGGCGCGTGCTTGGTCTTCCGTCGCGCGCGCTACTTTATATTTTAAACTTAGCGGTTCTTAATAAAACTATCCTATTGGTTGACAATGCAATATCTGCGGAACAGCACGTTATTGGCTAATCTGGAAGGCTGCGCAAGAGCACATCTTATATCCTTACATCATGGACAACCCTCTATAGTCCATTGAGAATTATTTTTTTAATAAATTACGAACAGTAATTCCAAATTAAAGGTGTCCATTAGCAACGTAAGGGAATACCTTTCATTTAGAAACAAAAATGAACAGAAAATATTAAATAGATTCGGCAGGGTATAACGAAAGAGAAATGCACACTTTCGTGTTAATAATGGGATTTACAAAATCTTCATATTCAAACGTTTGTTCTAAATTCATTTTTTATTAAATTTCATTAATATCGTCATTTTTGAAATTTATGAACATTTAGAAGGAACAGCTACTTCTTTGACCTGAACCACTGTGCGACGCTTTGACCAGCCCCGTCTGTGCCTAGTGATGGTCTCTGCCTCGTTGAGAAATGCATTGTATCTTATGGTTTTACCTATCTACCGATCTCGCATCTGATTGTGAACCACAAGATAGTCAAGACACTGCGCTTTTCTCGACGAGGCATTGCATAACATTGTTTCACTTCTTTAAATGTCTACTGTCGACCCCAGATCGTTGACGCTTGACGTTCGATAGCTTGAATAAGCATACTGCTGAAAGTTATTCGAAGTTTTATTTGAAGCCTTCGAATAAAAGATGGATAATCCCAGCTGCTTCGTCAATAGCATGATATCTGACTCGTATCTGACTGCAAGATTTAATAGATTACAAATAAAGCAGTTGGAAAGTGAATGAAACTTTAACGTCATTTTTAAAAAAACGGCCGTGTTCCGACCTACGGTTCCTTTCAGACTTTTTATCCGCGTGATGAGTAGAATATAATGCAACGATACAAAACTTTGACCTTCAAATCCAAGGTCAAGGTAAATCTGGCGGTAACGTTCTTACCTGTATCTCCACCAAATCAAAGGTGTGGAATCCGGCTATGACAGTCGCGACATATAATCTTTTAACACTCTGTACATTGAAATTATACAAAATAATTTGCTGTTTTCGACTTTTGAAAATAGGAGACCGACTAGTGAATGAATCATTTTGTGTCCGTTATTTACCACTACCAATGATTGATTTTTATCAAAACTATCGATATTTTTCGGCAAAGAACCTTTCATTGTTGTTCAGTATTTACAATTTAGTGAACGGAGGAGATGTAACAGGACCTATGTAGTTAATTAATGTTCAAGGATTACAGCTTAAGTCGATAAAGACATATATCTAGGAAGAAATGCGTTAAAACGTTAGAATACAATTGTAATAGGAAAGACCAGAGGCAAACGTAATAATTTTTCTTTTTGAGTGTGTAACTTTTGAATACAGTTGAATTTTTAAAAAATTCTTATATGGTGAAAAACCTTGATTACACTGGTCAACAAATTTGAACTTTTTTTCATTTTTGTAACCTCTAATAAGCGTTTCTGATAGATCTCCAAGAGATGAATACGAATCTGCAAACCGTTTCTTTCCAGTACGTCCAGTTTTAGAAAATATCAATTTTTTTTTAAATTGCAAATTTTTAATTTAGGAACTGTGTTCTGCTTTTACAGTAATAGTTATGCAATTTCTTTTGACACGAAATAATTTTCTGGACTTTTCCGAACCAAATGATATAAATTATTATTATATTATAGACATCTAAATATGTTTAAATAATGTGTAAAGTGAAAAGGACACCGAAAACGCACCACTTTTTGCTGATATTCTTTAATTTATTTCAAAAACTAAAGGTCTACGACAAAATCTAACCATACCACGCGATTGAGCAAACCTTTCTGCTCAGGAAAGCGTCAAGAGAAGTTAGAAAATCTGTTTTGTTTTAAATAGGGAAGTGAAATAGTTCAGCAAAACACACGGCGGCGACAGTGTTACTCAATGACGGCGGTCGCCTTGCCTGTCGCTCAGCGTAACGGAAGCGCTAAGCGCGCACGGTCACGAAAATGAGTCTGCTGGTTTAATCGTTGTGGGGCACATCTGGAAGACACTTTTTTGTTTGTAATCACTTTCACAGCTAATTTATATAATTCTGCAAAAGCCTGCCCATGGTCTATCTTCCTTTTACAAATAGTTTTGGTATTCTACAGGAAACCTCAATCCCTTAATTGTTATAATAGTGTACCCAGAAAACAAAAGGGCATAAAAGAAAGTTGACAGCTTAAATCGGGACAAAAGTAACAGCTTGTTAATTTTGTCCCTACTAGAGCTATCAAACATTAACACGTTACTATATGCAAATCTAACTTATTATCATGAAAAATGTTATATTTACCTGCAAATACATTAATTATTTAATATACCACAAAGATTTTCGTAGGATTTTACGGAACTGAAACAAAAAAATACACAATTGAAAGAAATAATGCAAACTTCCTTTTGGTATATTAGTTTAATGGGGTGTATTAGGAAAATCGCTTACTGCTGCGTGTTGGCGACAATTGAGGCGGAGGGCAGGTATATAAAGATGGGAGGAGAGGACTGTTGGTCGATTGATATTTGTTTTCTAACAGTTGTTATATTCGTTCCGTGTTACGTTTGTCCCTGGTCCACCCTGAGTTTACGGTACAATGCAGTGGATGTCTGATCCGCACGTATTTGAATTTTCTTATCGCAGTCTCAATTAACAAAATACATAAGCGGTGTTATTCTGCATACCGAGACAGTTCACCAAAAAACGACGGAGGGTGCTGATTTCATCGATTTCCTGCGACAAAGGAATATTGTGCCCGGTGTGAAGGTCGATAAGGGGTTGGTCGATCTCTTCGGCACGAAGAATGAAAAGATCGCTCAAGGCCTGGACAGTTTGGAAGAGAGATGCATACAGTATAAACGGGATGGTTGTCACTTTGCGAAATGGAGGTGCACCTACATTATCTCGGACACGACACCAAGTCAGTTGGCTCTGATTGCGAATGCGAACGTTCTTGCAAGGTTTGATTTAGAGACGTATAGAATTCCAAATTATGTTTAATAATTTAAGATACAGCCAGTGCCGGTCCTGGGTACTGTGCAGACCTAGTTTTTGCTGCCGCCTTATTTCGTTAATATTACATTTTGGGAAAATAAAAAATACTCGTACTAAAATCATTTCACTTGTAAAATATGTGTCATTGTATTTTATTTTAATAATTATTTGCATAGAAAATAACAAAATTTAAAATAATCATATCTTTTACAATATTCTAAAATTAAATAACAAAATAAATGTACCTACGTATTCGTTGTAGTTTTATTATTTTTGACATGTCTATACTTTCTGATATTTCATATTCAATAGAAATAAGTGCAAGACTACTTAGTCCCAGATAGCACCGTGCATCCATAGGACGTACGTTTCATGTCCAATTTATATCCAAATGTCCTATGTCCATTTTGAACATCTCTAGGATGTTCATAGGATTTCAATTTCGGATGTTCTGGAAACGTTTGTCCCGAAAGTCTCAAGACTTATATTTCGGATGTTCTAGGATTGTCCCTTTCTTAAGGGGGGAGACTGCGTGGGCCTTAAGCTGTGTTCGTGCACTCACACAAGCAACGGGAATCACGTATGTACAGTAGACATTCAATTCCTGCACGAGTCGGGGCTGTAGACGGTTACATTTCCTGGAACCGTGCAGAAACCGGTGACCAGTTATCCGAGCGCTTTCCCCACCACTCAATTACGTAAATACGCAACGATATACGCAATATACGGTTAGATTAATTATCTCCGTTATTTTTAGAGATATCAGAAAAGTTTATTCACAGATGTTGTTCAATATGAAGATGGTTATTACTTAGCAGTAACAAGTTTTTCGTAGGTGGAGTATCTTCTAAGATTTCAAAGTTAATTATGTTATTTTTATTAATGATATTGAAATATTATGGGATAAAATACTTTTATTACATAAATCAATTCTTCCAAACATTCTACGTAATAAAGTATTAAGGTATTATGTGAAAAAGGTAATACTTCGTGACATGTTTTAGTGGCAAATGTTTAGCTTGGTGCATTGAATATTGGTGGAATGAATAGTGGTGGCAATTTCATTGCTTCTTGTCTTGCGGATCACACGTAATGGATAAAAGATGCTTACCAAGCTAGACATTTGCCACTAAAATATGTCACGAATTATTACCTTCTTCACATAATACCTTAATACTTTATTACGTAGAATGTTTGGAAGAATTGATTTATGTAATAAAAGTATTTTATCCCATAATATTTCAATATCATTAATAAAAATAACATAATTAACTTTGAAATCTTAGAAGATACTCCACCTACGAAAAACTTGTTACTGCTAAGTAATAACCATCTTCATATTGAACAACATCTGTGAATAAACTTTTCTGATATCTCTAAAAATAACGGAGATAATTAATATAACCGTAAAGTGCGCATATCCAGCCCACCCTATATGTAGCTGCGTCGCACGACTGAACGACCGAGTGGTGGGGAAAGCGCTCGGGTAATTGGCGTTTACTTCCTGCACGATTCCTGGAATTCTGATCCGCTACAGCCCCGACTAGTGCGGGAAACGAATGTCTACTTATATAGATCAGTATGTCGTGCCCGAAACGATCCGTGCCGGTTACGCTTAGTGATGGGCACCATCGACTAAAAACTATCGACTAAGTCGATAGTAACCAACGACTACTCTCAGTCGACTTCTTTTTTAAATTGTCGACTAACTTCAGGCGACTAATATTAGTCGCTTGAAGCGATTCGCTCGAACTATCGAGCTATTGATCGCTATTGACTGGATCTTGATTATTTTCTTCGCGATGCAAACCAATTGTAATATTTCCATATATTTTTTTATGCATTACCAAGAACTGTGGAAATTATTGCTTATAACCTAATTGATTTTCATACAAAATTTAGAGCAATTAATTTTTTAAGTGCCAATATTAAATAGTTTACAAAAAATCGAATATTAATAACTGTTTAAAAAAACTTGTTTACCACTTATATTTTTTAAATTCTATGTATGAACTAATACATTTCCAAAAGGTAAACACACCAATGGTGCTGAAAAGTTGATGACATAATCGATACATAACCTATAAAGCAAAATTTCAATCGACTAAAAACTACCAACTAAATAGTCTATAGTATGTTGAGACTAAATAGTCATTAGTCGATAGTTTAATTTAGTCGATGGTACCCATCACTAGTTACGCTACGCGACGATCTGTGCCGTATAGTGTAAACCAACCTTATCTTTTAATACGTTCCTGATGAAACCGCGCGTGAAAGAGCTACAAATCATTAAAAAATTTCTTCTTATTTATAACATTACCATTTAAAATAAGCTTTATTGTATATATTTGATTACTCCTGTAATACATAGATCCATGGGCTTGATTAAAGCCTAGGGTCATCATTAAATACATACATACACCCGCGAGCAATCTTGGCTTCCACTAGAGGAAAAAGCTGCGTAGAATAAAAGTCTTTTACCACTTGATAAATTTATTTCAAGTATTGAAATAAATGTTAAACCAAATGTTAATTTGGCATAAATTTCAATAATTCCCAATACCAAGTGGTAAGAGGCCCTTTCTCTACTTTATTTTTTACCCTAGTTGAAACCGAGTTTGCTCGAGGGCACAGCCAACTCTAATACTAGCCGAGCTGAAGGTAAAAATGGCAACAACGCGAGAGTCCGGCTTCAATATACCTTTTTTTTTAACGGGGCGAAAAGCTTGACGAAGGGGCACCGCCTCCGCTCGGGTCGGAGACAGCCATTGTGGGGTTTCACCCACTAAAAACCCCCCGGTGACCCTCGGACGTAGGGCTGGCAACGGGAACGCTCGGCATGACCGCGGCCAGCCCCGCCCATTGCCCTCCCTTATAGATGTTTAAGGGACGGGCTCTTCTCTGGAGGGATGAATGCCCCCTCCCCCCCCCCCTCCCGGGACGACTGCGATGCTGTCCCACCACCTCCTGCCTACAGCTCCGAGGGGTCACCTCTCGATGCTGTCTTCTCGTGGGCCGACCACGAAAGGAGGTGGTACCGCCAGTACCACCCCCTCGGCCCGTTTGCCCTGCGGGCGACGCGAGGGGTCATTGCGGCTGTAATCTCTGTAAATCGCGACCCCCCCAGGGCAACGGATTCAATGTACCCAACCCAACCTACCATACAGCCTCTCAGGCCTGCCGCTACCACCAGCCTCCTGGCTACTCAGTCTCCCTCTACCGGCCTCTCAGTTTCCCGCCCATCTTTCAAATCTTTAGATTATTGTAATCCTCCGAATGTAAAAAACAGTGCAATAATCCAGGTAAATTTTATTTATTTATATTAACTCTACATATCATTTTGTTTGTAACACATTTATTTAATAAAATCTATAGTCTTTTTGGAAATACTGTTTCACATATTTTTTTGTTTATAATTTTCATATGTTTATTAATAATACCACGGCGTTGCTATGTTCCCAATTGTAAGGGAAATTATGATAGTACTTTAAAAGATAGTAAAAAATAGATGGCTGCTATTCCTCGTAAAAATTGGACACCAACAAAATATTCTGCCGTTTGCAGTCTGCATTTTACAGAAAGTGATACTCAAAGGTACCAAAGTATTCTATCACCCAATGGTGTACTGGAGAATGTTTTGTTATGGATACTGAATACTTGTCCAATTGGTTATGGGTCCCATTCTGTTGCTAAAAAATTAAATTGCAATATATGTTGATTATTAATTTTGGAGGATAAAGGTAAAACTGTAGGCGATGTATGTTTTGATCACTTACAAAGAGTAAATTAACATATATTAACATTCAATCAGATATACATTATTTAGCCTTTTCAGATACGTACATTTGTGGTCCAAGTTACCACAGTATTTTGTTTAAATTATTGTCAATTTTTTTGAATATTATTATATATGAACATAAATAATCATATTTTTACCCAACAAATTGTAACTCATTTCCTATATTGGTATAATACATTTTTGTGTCTAGCTCATTTAATCCCGGATTTGTTAATCAATGTATATAGATTATTTCTTTTGTTAAGATATGCCAGCATATGCCAGAGCGCACGAATAGTGCCCATCATAGAACCGGAGGTATTGAATGTTGGTAAGCATGGAATAAATAAAGCGTTGGAAGTTCACGAAGAAGTCCTGTCCGTTTTATTTCGTACTCTAAACGAGCATCATGTTTATCTTGAGGGTGCAATCCTAAAACCGGCGATGGTCCTGTCGGGTATCAAGAATACCGCTAATTGTACGCCACAGGTATGCATCCATCCAAATTCATTCGAAGAAATACTGTATTAAATTATAAAACTCGGTAATTGATTCTACAAATGTCCTGCGGTGATCAAAACATTGCTGCATACAATGGAGTAGTTTATTAAATTTGTGCTCTACTGCCCTTTAATTACACTATAAATTACAACAACAAAAAATGAAAAACATGTATGACCGTATACATATGTATATAGATTTTATTCAAAAGTATAAACCGTCTTACAGTAAATGCCGCGCTGACCAGCGCAGCGTTGCGCGAGGTACATACTGTATTTTGTTTGCGTTATCTTCTCGAAAATTATTAAACACTTCAAAATTATTTCAAAATACATGACTAGTAATAGAATTTAAAGTTTATAGGTTCTGTAAATATGCAATTGACAGGAATAATAAACTGGCCAAAACATTCCTACTGATCTACGTTTAGAAATACGATGTTAATGTAACAGATGTATTGAAAAAAATTACCGAAAACAAATTCTTGTCAAAATGAACGTCACAGATATGGCGTTAAGAAGGAGAAAATAGTGGTCATTTTAAGAATTTCTAACAGCTTAATACCTTAACAATTGTGATTAAACCAGCTTATTAAGAATGCATTTTTCAATCCATTTTGGTGGGAATGTTTTTGCCCCATTTTACTATGTAATTCAATTCTTGTTAAAACGCTGTCATTTCGTAGGAAGTCTTTATACACATATTTGTAAATATGATTCGTTACTACCCATGAAATTAAATTCTTATTTATGTAAACGTTTACTTGTAGGTAGTAGCCGAATATACATTAACAGCTCTACAAAGAACAGTGCCGTCAGCAATCCCAGGAATCGTATTTCTGAGCGGTGGACAATCAGACACAGAGGCCGTCATGAATTTGAATGCTATTTGTGCTTACGAAGGAAAGAAACCTTGGAAAATCACTTTTTGTTATGGGCGTGCGTTACAAGTATGATTGATTATTTTACACTGATTAAAAATAGCAAAAAAATCCTGTATTATTTTCAAAATTACCGTATTTGCACGAAGAACAAACCAATGTCGATCTGGAAAGGGCAGACAGAGAACGTACAAGAAGCCCAAGCAGCGTTAATTGAGAGGGCCACACTTTGCTCTGAAGCGTCTTTCGGAAAGATGCAACTGAATAGCCTGTGTACGAAAAAAGTTTCAAACGCGCACTGATGTAATAAAGAATCTTTTCAAGTGACTTCATTATCTATATAAATTACAATACGGCAATACTGTCGGCAGATTTGAATTACGCGACTGTAGGAAATGTCAAGGACAAAATTGAACCACATATTATAACGGAAAAAACCACAATTTTCTGCAAAAAAGGCGTGTTTGACATAGATTTCCAAGGTCCAAACTTGTCGTGATTCTTCTTCTACATTTCTACTAGATTTTGCAACATTTTAGCTTTAACCTCGAAACAGATTTAGTTTTCTATCTTATTTCTATCAATGGTTCTACGATTTTGACACAAAAATGAGCAGTTTGTTCCATCGCGCCGCGCCGCGAGATTTCCTGGCCTGCTGCGAATACAATTTTAAAGTACTCGTGAATTAAAAAAATGGATTTTAAAGGAAAGATCAGAGAATACGAACATATTTTTTTCAAATTTTTAATTTGTTCTAGGGGTTCCAATTGGCTAAAAAAAATTTAATATTTTTGCATTGCAAAAATGAGTTTAATTAGAAAATAAAATATTAATTACAAAGATCGATCTTTTCCAATCAAAACGAAAAAAAGAAACAAGTTCGTACCTTTGATGTTTACGGAGATACACATTTTTTTGTGATGGTAGTTTTCATAAAAATCGGTGTAAATTGCCAATTTAGAGGGTCTGTATTTTTTAAACAATTTCGAAACCAGCAAAATGATGACTGCCCTCCCCCTTATTTTCACATGAAGTATACGATATTTCAATATGAGCAAAATACCAGACATCGTGTACAGAAGAAATCCGCTTGGAGTAGCATGACCCATATCACAATTTTAGGTTAGGTTTTCATGAACTATCCCAACAAAGAGACACTAGATATTAATGAAATAAGTAGTGACAGTAACATGTCCGAATGAGAAAAAGAATTACATAGTAAATATTTACTAAGAATGATGTAAATGAAGATTTTGCATTAGTATTGGAATAGTCTTCTAATATAAATGGAGAAATTTCGAACATACGTAGACTATGAACAAGTGCCACTTTGTTTGTAATGTGCGATAAAAACATGTGTAGATTGTACTGATGAGACGTGATCTCGTGCATATACGACTTATACATATACATATAATCTAACCAATTGCCAATTATTCATAATTAGATTATTGGTCAGTCTTTCTGTACTGCATATTATAATATACGCCATATATTACTATATTTTGGCATCCATGCTTAATTATAAATTCTTTATAATCAACATATAGAATACATATTAATCTACATATGTATATTCTTTTATCATTAAAGTTACAACGGTAGAGTTATAAGTTTGGTCAATATTTTAATGTAAGTAATTAGTAGAACGCACGTATTCTCTACTCTGTGATATTTATTAAAAACATGTATAACTAAAATACTTTACTATTCGAAAGCTATGGGTATAATATCCAGTTAGTTGTCGTGATAATAGAAAATAACATTGGCAAGTCCATGTTATCAATGAACCTGTCACATCAACGTCAGAGTGAGATTAGTCAAAGAAGGCCAATTCGTCAACGCCGTTTCATCATATGAATGAGTGCGTCAACCTTTAACAGTGAAAAGTTCCGTCAGTCATTTCAGCGAATGTCGTACAAGGTGCCCTTGACTGACCTCCAAAACAGAGATTCTCAATAAGAAGCTTCTATACCGGTGACTTGTTCACTACGTGCAAGTCAGAACGCACATACTCCGAAGTTTGCTCCACTAGTGGTCGATATGTCGTAATTTCTGTGGATCTCCACCAGTGACGTGTTCTCCTCTTCTTCAGTTTTATGGACCTGCTCATCAGCACGTGCACTCGCCAGTGTTGTAACAATTGTGTGTGCCTATATGCAATTCACTTTTCAACGAATATTACACAATCAGCCATAATTTAAGCGACCCATGAAAACATAAATACTGTAATGATAAAAAAATATTTGTTACAGATTATTTAGCTACTATTTACATTGATTAATAGAAATTTTTTTATTTTAAACTCGTTTTGAGTACCGAATCGATCTAATTATAAAAATAAATCAAGCACAATGTTTAAAATTCATTCTGCGTACTAAATGTTTTGGAAAAAGTATTCTCAATTGTTTGTAGACTTTCATTTTTCAAATACTCCTGGTGCTTATTCTTAGTTTTGTTAATGACGAGTCTACATCGCTTGATTGGAGTAAAGAACACAAGGGTAAAGTTGAGAACCTCCACAACAAACGAAGAGTGCGCTTGCGCCAATCCCATTCTGGCTCAGACTTTGAAACCGACAAACAGCCTAGGACTTACCTCAGTCGCTTTCCAACCAGTGAATAGTACGTCGTAGTTTGATACGGGTTTCGAGTCAAGACTCATCGATATTAGGTAAGTTATATTTCTACATGTATTTGAATGAATAGTTCGCTCAAGATTGAAACGAAAAGTGTCACGTGTTTTTATAAACTAGATGCGTTCTTCTGTGCTGCAAAATCAAAGGAAAATGTAATCATAAATATTTGACCTACAATGAGATTCGACCTTGACTGACATTTGAACGATACCCATTCGTTTTCCCCGTGTCTTTAAATAGTGTAACTTTACAGCAACATTGTTTGACAATATTACCTTCAAAATAATAATATATAAATGCAAAATTATGAAAAAGGACACGTTTTTCTTTCGTATGTAAAGTATCATACGTTTTTATGAAGGTCAAATTCATTTTGACGTTATATTTAATCAGTTTACGACCGACGGACTTAACAGTTATAAATTGAACATTTACAATAGATCGTATGTCAACATATAACTTCCCGATAGTTAAGTTGAATTCGTTTTCGTCGACATTAAATTCTAAATTATTCTGAATTTATCTCAATTTCTTTTTAAATGAAAATATTCATTATTTGAAGTAATTTATTGTTTAGATACTGAAAAATAACCGAATGGGTAAATTTATTAATCGTTAAAATGTGTTACATTTAAATTAGCATTGGCAAAATGAAGTTCTGTTTAATAATTCTTCTATCGGGTGATACATTGACATATGTCTCAAAATGAAATAATTCGAATTTGTTAAATACAATTGATTGCTAATGTCTTAAAATAAGTGTGTATTTACTATTCTTTTCATAATTATATCTGCAATTATTTTGGATGTTATTATGATATAGGTTATTTCCTAATAAGTTATCAAATATAACTTCTAACCTATAATGTTTTTCTGTCCTACAATAAAAACATTCACTGTAACACCGAAAGTAAATTTTTCCAGTGAGTCAATAAATAAAACTGTAGAAAAAGAAACGTTAGTTACTAAATGGTTCAATGAATATATGGTTTAGTGCAACGTAATCATAAGGGTAATTTCCTCTTTTTAGCTCTTTAAATTCAAACGTTACAATGAATTACGTCTATAATTTGAATTCCCGATTTATACTTTGATGTAATTCATTCCTGAAACCATATGTCTTTCTTATGTATACTGCGCCTGATTTTTCGACATCTGTTTTCAACTAATTTCTTCAATGTCAGCAGTCTAAATTCGGCATTGCAATTACAACAATCGATAGTGTAATCGGTGGTACTTGTAAATTAGATCGAATTAGATCGGCCGTTTGCAAGCATGGTTCAATCGTAGCGAGAACTTACGCAATCGCCCATATGGACCGTTATGCTATGCAACTACTTATGTACCTGGGATCATTTTACCGGGGGAAAGTGTCACGTGTGTCGTCAAAAATATGGAACGGTACACACGCATATGGTTGATCGGGATGCATCTGCAATCTACGCACATAAATGTACTCGAATACACATATGACAGTTTTTTCTACTACTTCTTATCACATATCCACCGTCAGATTTCAACTCCAAGCTTTATGTGCACGTTTGACGCCTTCTCTTTTTTCATTTTCATTTTCATTTCATGTCGGATTTGTATACGAGTGTTGCGTTTACATATATATATTTTACTAAGGCGTTATGTTGAATATCATAGTATATTATATAAATAATTGCATTCCTATTTCATTATATGTGCATATACATATTCATACGTATACAATTATATAGCCAATTTATCTAGTAGTTGAACGACTTTCACTCTACATAGCTATAATTTGTTTTTACGTGATGTTGCAACAAAATGATTTGTCAAATTATTCTATAAATGTTTTAACATAATTATTTATTATTAATCACATGTCTTCAATATACCAATCATTGTAATAAATGATTTTCTTCAAATAATTTTTTTATTAACTCTTGTTATGTATTTTAGATTGTCTCGCTATAGTGGGTAATCATAAAGTCTCTCTAGATTTCAGTAAGAATCATTGATAATTTCAAAACACCTTTTATGAAAGTAAAAAACGTAGTTTGTAAAAGTAAAGTAATACAGTTCAACATGACCTGCTCGCATTTCAAACCACTGCTGCTAACATTCCAAGGTAGATCGGAAAACTGTTCGCAACATGTTCGGTGTAATAATTCCTACTGCAGTTTGATTCCGATTTTCAGGTTTTAAAGGTCATTCACCTGAGTTTAGTACACCTTAAATTTGATGAACTCTCAAGCGAAAAAATCCAGCGACGTACAGTCCAGTGAACGAGCTTTGCGAAGTATTTGTTATCCTCGGCTTATCCATCTGTCTGAAACGGCTTGATTTAAATAATCGCGAACGATATTTACAAAAGGGGGGGAGGTACTCCATCGTGTTGAAACACAACAGTGTTAAAAATTCCATCATTGATTAAATCGGGGCGGCAAAAACTGTTGTAACATATCCAAGTAATTGTTGTTAAACACTGTTTTTTTCTGTAAACATAAAGGATCCATTATTACTGTAATAAAACTTGTTTTGAAATTATTAATGTTTTTCACTAAAATGAATTGAGACTTTGTAAGTCCTCTGTATAGTATTTGAAAGTAAACAATGTAATTTTCATGTACTGCAGTTATTAATGTATGTATTTAAAGATACAAGTAAACTAAAATAAATAGTTATGTCTATTACTGTAACAGACTTCTTCCACAGTTTAATAGATTTCCACAATGAAGTTTACCAAACATGTACACCCATGAACAAAGTCGGCTTCCACTAGGAGAAAAAGTGGTGTAAGAGAAGGGCCTCCTAACACTTAATTTCGGGAGTTACTGAAATGTATGCCAAATTAACATTGACTTGAATATTTATTTCAGTACTTTAAATAAATTTACAAAGTGGTAGGAGGCCCTTATCCCTGCGCCGCTTTTTCTCCTGCCGAAAGCAGAGTTTACTCGTGAGGGTACATTACATAACATTTTTGTAAATTAAGTCACAGATAATAATCGGATTGAATTTTAAGGTTAGAGCATATTGTTTTATTGCCAAAAAGACTGAACTTTACTTTACCGGACCAAAAATTATTGACTTTTTTTATGCCTCCTGGTAGTATTCAACAAGTAGAATCTGAAAATGTACATTTTAACTTTAGGGATCCACCAGTTCAAAAGTTATGCGTATGTAATACCAAGTATTTTTAGCGTACTTTACAGGTTATAGTTTAACGCCATATTGGTTTCTATCGAAATTCATCCAATCAGTGGTGTCACTGCTTGTAAGGAGATGTATGCGGTGGTGGCCATTTTGGCGGGATCATTCAAATGTGTTTGCAAAAAAGAATCACTTATTCAAAGCGAAATACTGGTTCTTTGTTGGTTAGAGCCTGTTTAAGGGGAAAAAAACAATTATTCAAAGCGAAATACTGATGACTTGGATAGAGCCTATTTACGGGAAAAACTATTTATTAAAAGTAAAGTACTGATTCTGAGTTGGTTAGAGCCTGTTTACGAAAAAAGAAAACATTTACTCAAAGCAAAATACTGATTCTGAGTAATTTTTTTGATGACCCACGTGCATCTCCTTACAGGTAGTGACACCACTGATTGGACAAATTTAAGATTAAAACCAATATGGCGTTAAATTAACCTGTATAGTACGCTAAAAATACTTGGTTTTACATACGCATAACTTAAGAACTTGCATTTTTAGATTCCACTTGTTAAATATTACCAGGAGATATAAAAAAAGTCAATAATTTTTAGTCCGGTACTGCAAAGTTTAACCGCCAAAAATGTTTCCATTTTATCGTGTCATAAGAATAATAGAGCATATAACTATACACTAACAGAAGACTGTAAACACAATTATTACTAAAATGCATTGCGATAGTTGAAATTTGCGAGACTACGTAAATTGTTTAGTTATGATTTCGTAAATACGATTAAAAGTGTTATGGAAATACTATAAGAAGCCGTTACTAATCGAAAATAAAAAATTGAAACTGGAAGTAATCAATGAAAATGGAAAAAGTGGCAACCATAATTATCGACATTTCGATAATGCAACTACTAATCGTTCCTTACTTACTAACTAAAAATTGATAATACTATAATTGTACAGCAAATTATTATCAGTATTCTATTAAAAAGATAATACAATTCCATAGTACAGTTTTTATGTGACACGTAAGTTTACAATATACGTTTAAAAATTATTAGCCATAAACTAGCAAGCAGTATCAAATGTAAAGAAAAAATATTAGAGCTATAAATATATTTCCTGCAATAAAGCTTATTTTTCAGCTATGAGATTACGTACATTTATGACCGGAACTGTGATATTATTTTATATCACTTTATATTTTCCGGAATGAAAAATCTATTACAACATCTAATGTGACATTTTTGTCACTACAGTCACGACAGTATATTTTCATTGACTACTGCCAAGGAATCACTTTGATTCATTAATTTGCATCTATTTGATATGTACTTAGAATGATCTATTTTATCTCAAAAGATTTTTTAATAATTTCTGGATCACAAGCTTGAATATAAGCATCATTGAAGATTGATGCAAAATTTGCTTTAGTTATTGACTTATTTGATACTTGAGCATGTTCGGTAACTTGTTTCTGCCAACACTTTTGGAGTGGTCTGGAAATTCCTATATCACAGGGTTGCATTATATGAGTTGCATTCGGATAGAGATCATACAACTAGATACAATTAGCCACACAGAAATCATGCAACTCTAAACTTATGTGAGATTTGTGTCCATCAAACAATAAAAAAACTGGAAATTTAATACTATCATTAACAAGTTGTTTATGAAACATGTTATGTACAAGTTGTTTATAAAAGTTTCAGTGGTCATCCAGCCTCTTGGGCTATGTTCAATTATATATCCATTAGGTACAGATGCTGCTATTTCCTTAGGAGGAAATCTTTTATATGGATAAACTGTATTTGACAAATTTCTCTTCCATTAGCACTATAATTGCAAAGAACTGTAATACTTTCTTTTTCTTGCCCTGGTGAAATAACATACATATTTCTTTCTTTCTTTGGTCCTAATACTTTTCCAATCTTGGGACATAATTGTACTGCTGTCTTATCCATGTTATAGATGCGAGAAGGGTCATTTAAAATATCAGAAGCATTTTCATTTTCTAAGTAAACTGTGACACCTGCAAACCATTGTCTAATATTTTCTTCAGTAACGGCAGCTCTACTTTTAGGTAACACTTCTATGTTTCTCAGACCTATTTCTGGATGCCTCTTTAGAAATAATCTAAACCACTTTTCTACAGGCATATTATGTTTAAAACAGTTGGGACGTGGAGCTTTGTCTAGAATTATAACATTTTTGATTGCTGTTTTAACGGTATTAGGATGCATAGAGTATCCAATGCTAGCCTTATCGATTATCCATCGTTTAATTCTATTTTCTTCTGTAGGGGTTAATACAGGTGGTGGGACCAGTCTTCTTATTATAGATTCATTTTCATTGTGTAATTTGTTTATTAATGTTCCTTTGGGTATTTTATATTGTACTGAAGCTTTATTTGTACTTAAGACTTTTGTTCTAACTTTTTCCACAGCTTCCTTTAGACTTTGTTCTGTGTATTAAAACCTTTGATATTTTCGTTTCGCTTTTTTTATTGGATTCTTTTTAGATGTCTTCTTTGTTTTCATTTTTTGTATCTATAGATTTTATCAAAACGTGTCCAAAAACGTGCTCAGCAGGCTTCAGTCATTTACTGGTTGTAACAAATTTTTAACCTACCAATATTTGACCAGTTGGTCATTTACTGGCAAAACGCTTCCATTTTCAATACCAAAGAATGACTGATATAAAGTTTAAAAAAATAAATACTTATAATTATTTTTACTGTATATAAAATTAATTTGAATAATTAATTAGTTTTTCTTCTCAGTGTCTTTTGGTTTATAAATAAAAATAATAAATATTATTATAGTTCATCATTTTCGAGATTGCGTTTTTACTGTCTTACTAAAAATTTGGTGATTTTTGAATAAACAACGGCGGTCTACATTTCTGGAATATTTTTAGTAAGAAGTGTACTTATTAATGTTTGCTTCATATGCTAAACTAAAAATATGGGATATTAAAAGTGCAACTACACTCCATTTATAAACATTTAATCATTTTTACATTTATAATTTACATTTCTTTGCCTAATGGTCATTCACTGGTATGCGGTCAATTACTGGCTGGTTTATCCTACTTCAGTATAGTGGTCACTGATTCCTTCCTGTGTGTTTTCTGGAATTTGTACCTTTAATTATAAATAACCAATTTTAAAACATGTTACAAAACAAAATTTGGTCGCTTATCGAGTACTGAAATAAATGTTAAACTGAATGTGGTTCTTTCATGTAAGTCTGGCATAAGTTTAGTGACTTCTGTGGTCAAGTGGTGGGGGGCCCTCCCCTACGCTGCTTTTCCCCCAATGGAAGCCGACTTTGCTCGTGGATGTACCCTCGCGAGCATACTCGGCTTCCGCTAGGGGAAAAAGTAGCGTAGGAAAAGGGCCTTCTACCATGTGGTTTTGGAAATTTCGAAATAAATTTACCAAGGGGGGGAGGCCCTCTCTACGTTATTTCTTCCCCTAGTGGAAGCCGAGTTTGCTTGATCCTTTTGTTGATCCCTTAATGAAGACCAAAAGTTTCATGAATTTTTCGCTAGCTACACAGCACTGCAATCGAACCTTCTCTACGTTATTTCTTCCCCTAGTGGAAGCCGAGTTTGCTCGTGGGTGTACACTCCCGTGGTGGGGGTGATCCCTTAATGAAGACCAAAAGTTTCATGAATTTTTCGCTAGCTACACAGCACTGCAATCGATGCGTCCGTACAAAAACGCATGCTGATGGAGCGCACGCGCACGGTCGTATACACAGTGTGCATGTAGAGCACAAGTTGTGCGCGCTACCAGTAGAAAAATTGTATTTTCGACAATTTGTTAGCACCATATTATTGTATATAAAAAACCACGAAACTCGCCCAATGATAGTCTTTGTGTCTCTGGTTTTCGAGATAATACTTCTGGATCGAAACTTTAAAGGGTGGTTTCATCCCCTAAATATGAAAACGGGCCGATATAAAAAAATACGTATCTCTTATTCTTCGGTCATCCAAAACATATCTGAAAACCAAAGCAATCGCAGGCGGACACCTGGGATACTCTCATTGTGAGTTAAGATGAAAATAATAATAAAAAAAGAAGATATTAGGTGCACAAGAGTCTGAAATTAAGATAAAACGAGAGTGATCAATGTACGATCAATACGACCACAACGTTCTGGTCAAGAATCGCGTGGCTATTGTGGCGATGATGAGAAATATTGATGTTGAGAAGTTATAGATGAATGGACGACGCATTCATACTCAAATTATATCTGGAAATGTGAATTTTTTGGTGCTGGGACAATACGTTCATGTGCTACGCTGTTAAGCAAACGAAAACCTTGAATCTTCTATAGAGGTTTAAAACAAGATCACTTTAAACTTTAAAGACATCCTGAGTTTAGGGAACAAGAAAAGTTTACAGCACAATACAGTGGTAGTTAACTGAAAAATTTGTCAACACGTAAACAGAAGCATTATCTTGCAACAAAAGCCAAATATTTATTCTGGTTTAAACGTGCTGCTGTAAATGATAATAATCACTAGACTACTTTACAAAGTTGCATACAAATATTTAAAGAATCAGGGAAATTTTGTATTGATGCAGCTTTACATACGTATAAGCATTTTTGAATGAAGAATCTGTAAAATTCCTTTTGAGAGGAAATTTACTGGTCTTTCTCCGAAATAGGTCTCTACGAAATGTATAACATTGATAAGTTTTGCAAATCTTTTGAGTGAATAGTTTACAAGCATTTTTGTACTGGTGGTAATGTGTATCGTTAATCACAAGTCTGTAAAACGATAAAGAATTAAATTATTTTCTTTGACTAATCAGTGAATTGAAATTGATAGGATGATAGTGTTACGCAAGCGGTACTTTCCATCGTGGAATCTGGTCGAGTATTTTGAACGCATTCTACATGCGTCTCTTTGGTAAACAAGTTTATCGAGGCATGCAAACTTAAAAGTTGATAATTATATACAGTTACGTAAATTACCTTATCACTGATTCGTAATACGCGAAAACATTGAAAATCTGGATTACAGGTCGAAACTGTCTAGTACTGATGAAACTGCA